ACACACACACACACACACACACACACACACACACACACACCACGCTCGGTTTATGATGCACTTGGGGATTCTGCGTCGACTTACCGTCAGCACCCAGAGGCTTACCTTAACCACAGCGGTTATTTGTCTCACCCTAACCCTCACTAGATGTAGACCACCTCTCTTTTAAACTAACCTTAACCAAACCCTAATTATAGCCGCAGCTCTCCTCTTAACCAGTAAGCCTTCTACCGGGCTAAATTGGCTTAAATGTTCTCAAAAGCATATTTAAACCAGACCCCACACACACACACACACACACACATACTTCTCAGGATCTCTTGTCCTATCTCTGATCCATGAAGCGATGAGGGGGCTGGCAGATCAGGCAGACTGGTAGTGTTATCAAAACACCACCTCTGAGATCCTACAGAGCAGCTACTCTAAAACAAAAATCCCCATTACAATACCACAATCCATGTTTCCCATGGTATGGCACCGTGTTTAAGCATTTTGCGTGGCATCTTTGTTGTGCTGAGCTAACAGGAAATTGGCTCAAGAAGCAGAACTAAGTGAATCACGGTGTTAACGTTACCTGTAAATGTGCTCCCGAGATGAGTTACAACAGTGGTCCGGGGGAAACATTTAATCTTGTCCTCAAGCGAGTGAATCTACCGTGGAGAAACAAACAGCGCATGCACAGATTAATCATTTACAAAAAAAAATAAGCTATTTGACCCCAGTGGGTTCATCCTATGCATTAGCCTAATTTAGCATTTTGTTATCATCCTCGGGGGATGTTTGTGAGAAAAACTGTGGGAGGCGTTGCTGTGATTGTTTATGGGGTTAAACCAAATGTAAACAGATGTGCTTTGTAATTAAGTTGATGCAGCAGGAGAGCAGTGGCTCCTCTTGCTGGAGGCCACCCGAAGTCCTGGGAATACACTTCATGGGATTTGCTGTTCACTTGAAGAGGACACCCGAGGCCCAACACTCACCCTCTCAACGAAGCCCTGCTCCTTCAGACGAGCCTCGCTCAGCAGAGTCGTCTTCTCGGCCAGTACAGCCTGAGGTAGAGAAGGACGGAACATTACCGCCGGTGAGAACTGGATGGTTTATGGTGGAACAAGTAATGCAAAGCACAAACACATGTGCCTGTCAATGACACATGTTTTATGAACCAAACAATTGTTTTACAGTCGTAATGGACTGGGATAATAGGGACAGTAAAAGCAGTGAAACTGGAGCCAGCTAACATACCTGTAGTTCTTCTGCGCTCATCTGTGCCCAAAAGAAGAAGAAAAAAAGGGAAGATACTGTATGTTACAATAGAATAAACAAATACATGTGTAGTGAGAGTAAACAATATTAATATTAATATGAAGACGTCCCAAAGGGCTGAGAGACGGACAGACACACTGCTGGTTTTTGGTCTTTGAAATGTTAATGACCGTACAGAACAACACCTGTCTTATCTTTCATTGCACAGCACAATCAAAAGGACCCAGTTGCGTCTGCACAGACAGTCTAAACTGGACTTGTACTTGTGAAAGAAAGTGTGTTGCTCTGATGTCTCTTTGGAGAGACACACTGACCCACCGTCTGAATGAATTATGGTTTGTGAGGCCTGTAGTAAGGAGAGGCCTCCGGCAGCATGAACCCATACAATCCACTCATAAAGTTATTACCTCACCGGGGAAGAATGCAACAGAGAGAGCAGCATAATTCTTTGTGTTTGCGTTGTGTTGGACACGGTGTAAAGGTAGAAGAATCTGTGCCGGGGTCTCATGGCACCTCAACACCTGGGTAAAAAACATCTCCCTGGAGTACATTTGTCCTATCTGGCCCCTTTCCAGTGTGCACATCATGCCCGTGAGTATTGCTGGAGTATAAATCTAAAGCCCGGAATCACCTCGTACGATGATAATTGAGAACAGGGATTGAGGTTGGCTGCTGCCTCACAATCTCTGGGTTTTTTTTTTTCCGAGGGGAACATTCCTGAGTGATTCGAACGAGCTCCACGGCATCCGGCGCTCTTTGGAGAACAGCCACACGACTGGAGCCAGAGCGTGATCAGAGCGAAGTATGCGAGCAAATCGTCCCCGAGCTTTTAGGCGGAATCCTTCAATGACAAAAGGCAAGACGAAGAGGAAGATAACCGATCACTGCCAAAGTCTGTTAACATGGATGTGAACTTTTCAAATAATAAGGTGTCTGGGACAACCTCGCAAAAAAATACGTCCGGATCAGGAAGTCATTGAAAACGAGTAATTCTTCCATCAGACAGCTTCTTCCCAGAGGAGGGAAGAGATTTTAAACAGCCATTGTTATTTCATTCAGCCATCACAAAGCGACTTCACAATGACTGATGGTTTCAACAGCATCGCTGTATGAATTTAATCTAAACCTCCAGTCTCATATAATGGACTTTAATGGCTGCCGCTTTGATTGTCTACATCTGTGTAAACGCAAAAATGTTCCCAATGCATCAACAGATGTTGGACCTGGTGAATATGTATGCAAATGTTTGTACCTCAGCGGGGTCGTTGCCCTTTGCTTGCAACTCCTCCAGTTCTTTCTGAACCTGCCACACTCTGTTTCCCATCTCCTCCTCTCGACTCTGGAAAAAAAATAAAGAACGGCGGCTGAGTCATTTCCTACGTTTCATCTCAGCGTCACAGCTCAAGCATGTCGGTCTGATCGCCCACTGCCTTGTTTCAGACCTCCCAGCCCTAATTATATTTGGAGACAGTACGGGAGACAATTTTATACCAGACGCTGTTCTTCATAAATCACTTGACCAGTTTCCAAATATAAAATATTCAGCAGGCGTTCATTGAAGATTGAGTCAAGTTGTTTTCAGACCAGTGACTTCCCCAAGGAGGCCGCTGCCAGAGGATATGTAGACAGAGTGTAAAGTAGTGGAATTTATTATCTAATTTCTAATTTAATAACCACATATTAATTCAGCTAAAACATCCTAACAACGTGATTAAGAATCTAAATTAGTTAGCACATGAGAAGTGGAGTTATAACAGTTGAGATGAATAAAAATGTCTGACAAAAGATGTTGGGAACCTCTGCTTTAGACTGCCAACGAGTGCAGTGATAGCTTCTAAATGGTGGGTGGGGTTCATTGATTTTTCAGGGTAAGCCGACTGTATAAAATGGGGTCTTGTTTGAGGGGAAAATGTTATTTCAGCTTCATCTTTTTAGAGTACCTGTAAAACCTCTTCATATTTCTGAACAGTTCTGTGCAAATCATCCTCCTTCTCGCCAATCACCTTCCTCAGCTCAGTGGCTTCTTCGTGATGGCTCGTCATGAGCTCTGCCTCTACAGTCTGGGCCTTCGCTGGCTCGAGGACAGGGGGGGGGGGGGGGGGGGGGAGAAAGCCAGAGTTAGCGCTTAAAAAAAAACCCCAACAAATTCATATTCCAAACCACTCAGTCACACACTTGGAAAGTAACACGATTCAAACCATTACGGAAACAAGGAAACACGGTAATTCAGATGCAATGATCCGTTCATTTTTGTTTTCCGCCCAGTGTGGTGATTAAAAATGCATCATGTGTCCGTGTAGTTGTTCCACCCTGCTGTTATACACGTAAGTTAATCATATTCACTTAGATTTTCCATTGTTATTTGGTCGTATACTGAAATGATTTCACCACAGCAAAACACAGTGGTCTCAAGCACTTATTTCCCATGCTGTACGACACAGCTGTAAAGGTTCATGTCATGAAAGCAGAATGACTTTCTGCCGCCTCACCGATGGTCTCCTTCACTGCCATATCAAGCTCCCGCTCTCTCAAAGCCATCTGCGTGTTGAACTCCCTCATTAAGTGCTTGAGAGCAGAATTGTGCTTCATCTCCACATCTTCCAGCTCCAGTCTAGTAGAGCGGAGAGCAAAGGAAATGCAATAAATCATTATGGGCACCACAGGCTTAAATACAATTCATTAATAACATGTCATCGTAGACTTACTTCAGCTTTTTCTCATTCTCCTCGAGCAGCTCTTTCTTCATGTATTCGAGGTCCTGTTCGTGCTCCTTCCTCAGGGCTCGAATGTCTTTCTGTAGCCGGACGAAGTCCTTGTGGATTCTCTCTTTCTCGTTCTTCAGCTGACTCAGATCGCTCTTGAGAGACTCCGGAGAATCGCCCTCCACTTCCTGCATCGATGAGTGGTTTCCCGTCTCGGTCTGCATCACGCTCTTGGTTTCCTGGACGCTGCTACGTTCCACCCTCACCTCAGCCTCGGCTCCCGACGGATTCGGAAGCTGCTTAATAGCGGCCTGATGTTCTTCAAGCTGGGCATCCTTCTCGCATATTTCTTCTTTCAGGCGATTGATTTCTGCGAGATGGTTTCCATTCCGCTCTTCTGCTTCTTTCAGCTTTGCCTCAATTTCGCGGAGCGCTGACTCAGTTCCTTTGAGCTCCCCTTCCTGCGCTGCATCTCTCTGAAGCGCCGCCAACTTCTCTTCGTACGAGTTTTTCAATTCCTCTAAAGACTTTTCTTTCTCGAGCCTCTCATTACTCAGAGTCTGCTCAAGCCGTTGCTCCTGCTCCTCCTTAAGCTTGACGAGAGCTTCCTCCAGTGTTTTCGTTTTCTCCTCCAACGTTTCTGCGTGTTGCTTGCCGGACGCCACGTTGCTCTCGGTTTCCTCCAGAATGGCCTGAAGAGCCTTCGCCGCCTGCTCCTTTTCCTCGAGCTGCGAGGTCAGCTGTTTCTTAATCTGAACGATTTTCTGCTCGGCCTTCTTCTTCAGCTCCGATACTTTCCGGGCGCTCTCTGCAGACAACTTCTCCTCAGCTGCCTTCACGCTCTCCTCTCTGCTCTTGAGGATCTCATCTCTCACCCTCTCAAAGTCCTCCCGTTGACTTTCAAGCTGGCGTTTGCACTTTTGGTTGTCTTCCTCGAGGGAGCGGAGTTGTTTGACCATCTCCTGCTCCACACTGCCATTCTGAGTGCACTGCATCTGGGTCTGCTGCAGCTGCTCCACCAGCTCTCTCTTCTCATTCTCCCTGACGCCGTGCTGCTGTTTGAGGTCAGCTGTGAGTTGCTCGCACTCTTTCGTCTTTAAGGCTAACTGCTCCTGGAGCTCACCGAGTCGACGGATGCTACCCTCCAGCTCCGAGGTAAGACCGCTGACCTTCTGCTCCTTCTCGCTCAGCGCCTGGTCCATCTCAGACTTGCTGATGGACTGATTGTCGATGCTCGCCGTGAGCCCCCGCAGGGTTTCATTCTTCTCAGAGATTTCTCGCTCCAGCTCGTCGAGCCTGGTCTGCAGAGAGGTGATAGTTTTGTCATTCTGGGTGAACGTGGTCTCATACTCAGAGAGACTGTTCCTGAGTGCTTCTGCCTCCTCTAAAGCAGACTGTCTTTCCTGCTCTAATCTCTCAACGGCTTCCTCCGTTCGAGCAGCCGCCTGTTGTCTCTCCTCTTTATACTGCCGACTCAGCTGATTTATGGCTTCCTCCTTCTCTTTTACGCTACTTGCGAGCTGATTTTTCAAGTCACCGGCGATGCTTTCCAGGTCACGGAAATGCAACTCGTTTGTTTTCATACTTTCTGACATGAGTCGGTTTGCTTCACTCAGCTCCTCAATTTGCAGAGCTTTCTCGTGGACGGACTGAGAACGATTCTCTTTGTCATGTGTTAAGGCTTTGACATGCTCCAGATGAGCGTTTACCTGAGCAGACATCTGTTCCAGTGAAATGCATAGATTCTTATTCTCCTCCGTCTGCTGGCGGAGGTTCTCCTCTAAAGTGCGGATTCTATCTACTTTAGTGAGGATGACGTTTTTGAGATTCACTACCTTCTTCTGACTGCAGAGCAGTCCGTCTTTCAGCTGCTTTAACCTACATTCAACTCTTTGACACAGCTCATTAGATCCACACTCCACTCTGGACTGAACCTCCTTGCAGTAGTGCTCCATTTGGTTTGTGATCGTAATTAACTGCTGCTGGAACTCTGCCTCCTTGGCTTGTAGCTGAATCTCAGTTCCCTCAATTTGTTTCTGCAAGTCCTTGCTTTCCTTAGATCTGGAGCCTTTCAGCGCTTTACACTGCTTCTCCATTTCCTTCAACTTTCCCGACAAGGTCTTCACCTTCTCCCTGTTCTCTTCCTTTGTCGCGTTGAGCTCGTCTTGGAGGGAGCTTCTCTCGTTCAGAGCTTGGTTGAGGTTCCTCTCCACTGACTCCATTTGCTCCTTGAGCAACGCCTCACTTTGAGACAAACCTTCAAGCTTCACTGCTGCTTCGTTAAGCTCTTCCTGCAGCTTCTGCACAGTGGTTTCTCGAATAGCCAGGCCCTCCTTTAAATCCTTTATTTCACACCACACTTGCTCGTTCTCCTCCTTGCCTCTGCCGAGTTGCTGAGAAACGTCCTCCAGTTCCTGAGCCTTCTCCTGCAGTATGTGCGAGTGTTTCTCCATTAACTCTTCCTCCTGCTGTCCCAACTTCTCCTGCCAACGATGCTCCAGCTCCTCAACCTCATGCGTATGCGTGTTGTTGAGCTTCTCCACTTCTTCCTTGTGGTTGGCCTGCAGCTCCGACATCGCACTGCTGAGGCCTTGGGAACTTTTTTGGGACATCTCTACAATTTTCTCCTGTACTTGATGCTCCGTCTGCTGAAGCTCTCGGTCCTTCTTTGCGAGTTCCTTCTTCATGGTTTCTTCATTCTGCTGCAGCTTCTTCTTATAACTCTCGTGCATTTCTTTGGCCTTGTGTTTGATCTTTTCCATTTTTGTTTCCTGTGTTTTCAGCTTGTCTTCCAAATCAGTAATTGTAGTTTTCATCTTTTTCTCGAGGGCAGCTTTTTCATCATCCAGCTGTTTCTTGAGGCGAGCGACTTCTTCCTGCTTAGTGTCGAGTTCTGCATTAAATGACTGCTTCTGCTCCGAAAGCTGCTTTTTGGTCTGTTGAAATTGGTCCTTCAGTTCTTGAAGCGCCTTCTCCTTTTGTTGACAATCGTTCTTTGCTACTTTAAACTGATGCTCCATATCTGTCAAATCCCTCTGACACTGATCAAGATCCTCGGACATCATACTTAACTGTGCATTAGATTCCTTGAGGCTCCCATTTTCCAGCTGGGATTGTGACAAACACTGCTGCAGCTCCTCGACTTTGACATTTAATTCTTGTACAGTGGATTTCGACTGTTTCTTTAGTGTTTTTTCTCTTAGCATGTGTTCTTTCATTTCCTTTTCCCTCTCTGTCACAACAATCCTCAACGCGTTAAGCTCCTGCTTCAGAGTTTTCTCCATACCACCAAGCAACTGCTCGTGCTCCTGTTTGATATTTGCGAGCTCTACATTGTGCTTCTCCACATGATCCTGAAACCTCTTCTCGTGTTCCTGCAGGGCTGAACTATGAGCATCTTCAGCTGCCACCAACTTCCCCTCCAGGAGCTGTTTATTGTTCAAAGCCTCAGAAAGTTCAGCGGATACTGCCTCCAGCTCGGCCTGCTTTGCATCCAGTTTCTCCAAAGTTTTCTGGTTCATGTCTTCAACATGTGCTTGGAGCTGCAGGTCTTTATCTTTCAGAAGGGTCTCCACTTCAACTCTGTGGGTTTCCTTGAGCTGGGTTCGGGTGCCCTTGTGCTTTTCCAGCTGCTCCCGGTGCTTCTCCTTTAATGCAGAGATTTGCTCTGTGTGTTTATTCTTCAGCTCGTCCAGCTGACCGGAAAGTTCCTGGGAGAGACTTGATCCATCCTGTGAGATCTTCTCCAGAGTGCTCTCCAGCTCCAATACTCTCTGCAAGCACACAAGATCATTCGATGAAGTCACTGCAGCTAATCATTTCACAGGACAACTATGAAAACAAATGGTCAATAATTAAGATATTTTAGTATTTATTAACAGTACAATATTAAAAGTTTCAAGGGCAATGAGGGAGGTGTGTACATAACAAAAAACAGTTTTTAAAGTATTATAGCACTTGTGTTTACCCCTATTTCATGGGAAAATACTTTTACTATATGCTATTTTTGTACAACAATTAACATGGAAATGAACAAAGATTTGAGTGTCAAAGGATTCACTCAGCCCTAATTAATATGTCTCCCTATAACTACACGTGTGTGTGTGTATATATATATTATATATATACACACATACATATATATATACACACATATACACATATACATATACATATATACATATACACATATATACATACACATATACATATACACATATACATATACACATATATATATATACATATACACATATATACATATACACATATACACATATATACATATACACATATATACATATACACATACACATACACATATATACATATACATATACACATATATATATACATATACATACATATATACATATACATACATACATACATATACATACATACATATACACACACACATATAAACAACAACAACTACTCACAGTTTTTGCAGCTTCCAGCTCCTGCTGTATCTCTTTAACCTTATTATCAGCTTCAGTCCTCAGAGCTACCTTCTGTAGCTCTACATCCTCCAGAGCCAGAGAGGACTGCTGCTCCCGCTCATTTCCTAACTGGGCAAACTCCTCTTTGCATTGCTCCTGAATACACAATCAACATTCAAAAGTGATTATCATCTGATTTACTTGATTATGTTGTGAAATTAGACGAATGAAAACCTTTGGCACGTACCACAGCTTTGTTGATTCTGACACTCGTCTCTTCTTCTTTAGCAGCCAAAGCTTCACTGTGGAGTTTTTCCATATTGGCAACCGTTTCCTCCGATGATTTCTAATAATGTCAATAATAATGAATCAGATTTATATGTGCTTCACTGTGTTATCAAAGACACTTTACAGCATAACATACATTATAAAATGAATCAAAATACATTTGCCTTGCAGTTTCCTCCATGTCAGTAGCAGAAGTTTGAATGTTTTTAATAAGCGTTTGCGGTTTCCTATTATTTTTTCTGATGTAAACACTTTTATTAAGTGACTATGACATGTTTTAGTCTACGAATGCAACCAAAACAGCCAGCTGATGTGGTAATGCCATTCAGTCTCTGACCTTCATGATGGTGACGACCTCCTGTTTGACTCGTGTGAGTTCCTGCTGCAGACTCTTCCTCTCTTCCTCACTGGCTCTTTCAACGTCCTTCACTCGCTCCTCCAGCTGAACCTGCAGCTGTTTTCGGGCCTCGTCCGCCCTCTGAGCTACGCCCAGCGCTCGTTCAAGTTCTTCAAATGCTTTGATAAAAATATATATCATCAGCATTTCCAGACGAGACCTTTACATGTTCACTTACAGAAGTGGATTCCACTCACCTGATTTCTCAGCCTTTTCTTTCTGTTCCTGTAATTCTTCCTTCTGGACGGTAGTCTGCTGCAGCCTGGAGCGGAGCTGTGCAACCTCCTCTTCTTTCATTTCCAGGGTCTCGTGCATCTGGCGCTTTGTCTCAGCGATCACCATTCCCTGAAAGCCATCAAACATTATCAACTGTACGGTCGGAGCAAATGAACTGACACACTGATATTGATGTTGATTTGATGAATGCTATCTCGGTATTTTACACCCGAACGCAAGCTCAAGTGTCTCTAATTGTTTTTGAGTTTAAGTGCTTTCAGCATTCCTCACACAGATCTCATGAGCTGCTGTCCATCCTGCAGAGCTGGGGTCAAAGTTTAAGAGAAACATTATTGGACTACAAGGTGTCTGACTTCTCTACTTCGTGGCAGAGCCCAAAAAAAAAAAAGTCATGTCTGAATCAGCAGGACCTTCATCAATCAAGATGTGACTAAAGCCTGAACAACCGCTCACTCACCTTGTCCTGCTCCAGCTGTTCAATCAGGTTCTTGGCATCACGCAGCTGAGTGATCAACTTCGTCTTTTCTGCTGTGTGCACTTCCTAGAAACACAAACAGTTTGACAAAATTACAAATGAGAATGTCCTGAACTTCACGCAGAGCCATTTCGGATCCAGCGCCGGCTTTTTGCTCAGATAACTTCAAAATGAGATGTTTTCTCTACCACCCAGGATGTCTCACCCACAAGCCAAATAACCAGAGAGTGCACACAAGCCCAGCTAAACCAACAAGTCGGCCCAAATTACAGCCCAGTTTTAGCAGCAGCGGTGTGTAGTAGCTGTGTAACCAATGATTACAGAACAGGAAACGCTGCACTGTCTGTATTTCTCCGTCGTTTGATCCGTGTGTGCTGCAAGGCATTAGTGTCTATGCAGACGAATTGCACAAATGAAGTTTTACTGTAAATATACAAAAAAAAAAAAAAGACAATACAGCGTACAATACTCTCAACCAGACTGTAAACGATACATTCAAAAGTCCCTGAGCTGAAGGTCTGGAATCTTAAGACAGATGGTCTGTTTTATGGGATATTTGTCTGAGGAAGGAGATGAGCACAGCACCACCCAGCAGTTCCAGGATGCCTTCATGCTGCTTAAGAGGGCTAAACGCCTGTTAACCTCTGCTTTTCCTGACACAGGAAAGGCTCTGTTCCCAAACACACAGCACATTCAATGCAACAATTATGGCAAAAAAAAAAAATGACGACGAGTCGATCATCACGCATGACGGGCAAGCTGTCTATTATTACAAACCGTGTCTTTGGAACAACAAATATTTCTTATCAGACGCTGCCAGATCTACATACCGCTGAATCTAAATGTTTTGAAATCAATGAAAACAGCGGTTCAGTCACGCTGACATGATATGAACCGCCGGCCCTGGAGCTCCGCCAGAGAATTTGGATGTTCGGACTCTGAGATACCAGAGCAAGCCTCTGTGTCCCTGAGATAACTGACTCGCATTATCAGTGGACCGTTAAGACTCCAGCAGAGACTTTTGCAGCACAACATTAATTACCCTGAACAGTAACGACAGTGTTCTCAGCCCAGCCTCATTTTTGATCAACCCTGTCTTGCATGACTATGGTCAACACTCCAGTGTCATTGCTGTGGAACACAGATTAACCACCTTCATCTTCTCCAGCTCCTGCAGTCTCTCCTGCAGCTGCTGCTGCAGAGTTTCGTTCTCGATGCCCAGCTGGGCGCTGCGCTCCTTGTGTGTTCGCATCACTTCTTTGCACTTCTGCAGCAGGTTCTCCTGCCTCTTCACTCGCTTCTGCAATGTCTCCATAAGTTTGGTTGGATCACTGCTGCCCTCTCCTGCCCAGAACATAAAATGCACTCGTTTAAAAAAAAAAAAAAAAAAACAATACTACACCTACACAGAAATAGTTGACATAATTCTCAGAAACAGTAACTTGTACCCTTACTTCTAACCAAAATACTGATCTACATAAAGAGTTTGCTTGCCTTCAGTGGCTTCAGGCTCTACTCCTTGCTCCTTCAGAGGACTTTGTGTGGAGGAGGTCGAGTCTGAATTTGCATCTTCAGATTGAGGGACGTCACCCTCGGGTGGCACAGCACCGTCAGAGACCACCATGGCTCGTTTCTTCAACAGAGCAACCTGTTAGAAAGAGCAAAAAACAGTTAGTGAAATAAACATTTGTCTGAATTCGAACAAATCCGGTCTTATTCAATTTCATTTTGTAAATGTAACTTTTAATACACATAACACCACTTATTTTTTCTTTGTCGTTTATGTTTTTATTTGTACTGTTTTGCAAATATTGCAAGTGCACAAAAGAGGCCGAGCCAATTTCTATGGTTTAAGTTATTATGTCACAACAAAGAATAATGTTAAGTTAAATTGTGTCTGGGATTTAATGTAAAGTGTTGCCTTCTTTAACATTTCTATCTCTTCGTTAATCAGCCATGTTTAATCAAAGTCTTGTACATGTCTTTTTTTCCAACACTGTTTTTTATTGAGCTTGAAAAACACAATCACATGAGAGGCCATACAAAGAATAATAATTATACATTCATAAGAAACCATCACCACCTCCAGGCCACCATCCGTGTCTCACCACTCACCTGTGTTTGGAGCACAGTGATCATCTGGTCCTTCTCCTCCAGCGCAGCATCAAAGTCCTCTTGTAGGTGTTTCTTGGCCTGCTGGTCCATTTGTAGCTCCTAGAAGTCATTCAATATGCTCACTAACGCGTAAATGATTCACAGATACCGACCTAGAGAGAGGACAACATTCACAACATATAGCCATTACCTCCCGCAGCTCCCCTATCCTGCGGAGAGCTTTATCTTGACTCTGACTGAGGATGACCTGAAGGGAAGGAAACAGAAATCTGATCAGTTCAGGATGCCACATATCTTCAATCCCCTGAACATCATATCAAAAATAAAATAGAAGCCGACGTGGAAGTAACTGAAGAAATTACCTGCGTTTTTTCTTTATCTCGTTGCACCGTTCGGTACGCAGTAACCAGCTGTGCGGTTAAGGAGTGGAGGTTAGTAAAAAGGGGGAAGAAACAGAGAGAAAGAAAGAATGAGGATACATCAAAGTAACTAGAGTTTTCTGGGAGCCGCTCACCTCCGAGTACTTCCCTCTGTACTTCCCCAGGCTCCTCTCCACTCTAAGCAGTCGGTGCAACAGCTGCTCTTTGGAAAGGGACTCTGCACTTCCTGGTGGCTCCTCAGCCTCGCTCTCGATATCCGAGGGGGGATCGTACAAGGGGGCGCCCGGGGACTCGTTCTCTCCCAAAGGTGTCAGGGATTCACGCGACGAGCTTCGGACCAGGTTTTCTTTAGACTGAGAGCGGAACAGGTTTTCGGCCCGACTGGCACCACCGCGAATCAACGACTCCATCGAGGGAACCCTCAACTGTAGCTTCTGGGCAAATGACGTCTCCTCTCTCTGTTGGGAGGATCAAGACATCGCATGCAAATTTTAAATCAAAGAACGAGCGAGAGCCTTAGAACATTAACGAAGATCATATGGGTGACAAACGTACATGAGGAGAAGCACTTCCATCCCCGTTGATGCTACCTCTGGGAGATCTTGCTGCTCCTTTAGGGGTGCTCTGCAGATAAAGTACATGATGAGACAAAGGGACAACCGTGCCAGAGGGCTTGTCCTGGACCAGTTAGTCATCCACACCCAGCGGGGCTCTCCCTGATTACTCTGGAGGGAGCAATATTAGAATTGCTGGGAGCAATGCAGGGGCAATGGGTACCCTCATGCAACTTGGAAAAAACAGAGGGGTTAAATACATAAAAAGAAGGCATCTCTACCGTACATCAAACAAAAAGGGTTAAGACTAGACTACAGAACAGCCATGAGGTCAGAACAAACAAGACAGTTAAAAGTCAAGAAGGACAGCCGGTGTTTGAATTAAAGATGCTTGGCAGTGCCGTGTGCAGCTTGTGTTACAAGAGAATCGTAATTTAAGTGGACGTTTAGCAGCTTAGTTGGTTTAGTCGACTTGTTAGAAGCAGGATCAGGATAAGCAAATGTTCTCCTCCCTTGTCCAGCTCCGAGCTACTCCTTCCTCTGGATTACTGTGCAATGCAGTCAACACGTCTGTCCTGTTTCTTGAGGAAAAGTTCTTGATGAGATGTATCGTCCAGGATCTGTTTTCGCTTACTAAGCAGCAATGGTCATTGCAGTGTTTATGTCAGGGATTTAGATTTAAAAGCAAATGATTGAACATATTTTCATTCTGCTGTGTATAGGGGCAGCTGCTTGGTTTAATGAGCGTGTAAATGTGTGTCAATAGAGATAAATGAGTACAAAGGAAGCGCTCATTTCACTGTAAGTGATGCTATCTAGAAGGGTAAATACTGATGAAGTTTCTAAGTAAACTCCTTATTTAAACAAGCCGATACCTCACACTGCTCACTTCATTCTCACGGGTTTATGTGAATAGCTACTACTTCATTACGCATCTAATCCTACTTAGAAGACTTGAATCTCTCTGCTGTCTTTCAGTACCAAGCACACCACGTCCCAATCCTCACAGACAACAATCAACTGATTAAAATCAAAGTGGTTGTGGATCCAAGATCATGTTACTCACAACAGTATTTACGACTAGTACAACCTTGATCAAGTACCAACACAAACATAATCCCAAGAGACAGAGAGATTCCTTAAATTTAGCTCGTCAAATGACAAAACAAGTTTGTGCCTCCAAAATAAAATGTAAAAACCAACAAAATGAGTGAATGAATGGGATGGTTTGATGGGATTACTTTCATTGGACGGAGTGAGGACATGTTTAGAATACCTGAATAAGATGTAGATGGACCACGACAAAGACATTGATATATTTAAGATATTTGTGGTGATAATAATGACACCGGTGGTTTTTGTAACACATTCAAATTCTCCAGACTGCAGAGCAATAATCCTTTGATCTCTAAAGTCTTTTACACTTCATATTACAAGTTACATTGAATATATCTTGGACATTTGAATAGACATATGAAATGTTAGCAAAATGATTTTAGTGTCTGCATTTAGAATGTGATGAATTGTTTTAAATGTTCTTTTCTCCTAGTCTTCTGACTCCACATATGAACACACATCATCTAGTTTTAGAGCATCTACAAAAGGTGCTCTGGTCTTTTTGTTTATTTGGAAAAGTTACAAACAATTTAACATTTCAACTGCTTAAATTGCCTGCCCATAGCTTGTGAAATGAAAACGGCAACTCTCCAAATAAACAGACTTGTGGGGCAAGGGAACAAAGGCCATCAGGCAACATAACAGGGTGTTGGGGGTCTATAAGGCAAGCAACTAAGGACACCTAAAAACAAGATGGCAATACTTCTTCTGTTACAGATTAGAAGAACTGAAAGGTAGGGCGATACACCAACATACAGCAGAAGCTTCTATCCCACAATGTAAACCAGAACGCCCATCGGATGCAGGGTTAGCCTAGATATGAGATGCCTTCTTGTTGCTAAATCCAAAGGAAACAGGAGACAGAGAGCAGGGAACAAGCTGTCCCTACTTGGGCTACAGTCCTCTACCGAGTCCCCAGAGGCATGGAGACGGGAGGAAGGAACGGGGCAAGAGGAGGAGGAGGAGAAGGATGAGGAGGATGAGGAGGAGGAGGAGACACGAAGTGAGGACAAACTCACCACACTGGCTACCTGGGCCGTTTGGGGTTGTTTTGAATGGTCCAGAGCAAAGATAGTATATTCAGAGAGAAAAGCGGGCTCGGCTATCATCCCAGCCAGCATCTGACCCCCGTCAGTGCAGTAACGGGACGAAAGGTGGGGGAAGGAGAGGAACACAGAGAGCAATGAGAAAAACAACACCATGAGTGTGAAACAGCGCTGAAGGGAGTGTCCAGCCAGACGGCCCAGACGAGGCTGGCCGAGAGAGACTGAGATGAATGGGTGGATGGAGAGAGAGAGAAAGAGAGAGAAGGAGAGAGAAATACAGGGATAGAGAGAGAGAGAGAGAGAGAGAGAGAGAAAGAAGGACAGACAGACAGACAGATGGAGATGGAGAGAGAGAGAGACTACATGGAATAGGAAGAAAAATAAGAAAAGTGGGAAAGTGAAACACTCAATCAACATTAATGTTATTAATAACAGTTTGACATCTCTGCATGTAGACGTAAGTTATGATGTTGTCAAAAAAATAAATAAATTGGCCAAATCTGCCCCCAATAAGCAAATAAACACTCTCAGAGATGTCAAAGTGTTAAAGATTTGTGAGGTGAAGAAATATGCTGCGGTGATAAGAAGTTGAGGGCCCATCATGGGCCCGAGTTACAAACAACACACATGTGCCTCCAAAGGATGAGGAAGAAAGTAGAGGATAAAAACCTGAGATATAAAGGGGCACTGGCACTATTCTAGCTCGGAGTCTGGCAGTGATGAAATGTAAAACAACCTGTCATGGATGAGTAATTAAGGCCTTTTTGTTTTAATCTGAAGATCAAACGGGCATGAATGTAAACATCCATATCTCAGCTGTAAAATAGATTCACGGTTGTTGCATCATCAATCTTATGGTCACGGTCGGTAACTCAGTGCCGGTCTACTTCCGTCTGCTGAATCAAAGACATATTGTATAACCGTGGCCATATCCACTGGCAAAACATATCACAACAAATCAACAGAGAAAGGAAAAACACAGAGAGAATGTTACATAAATTATTCATACACATGCTGCATTATGGTCTGCCCTCCACCATTAAAACGCTGGTCCCAATATGTCTAAATGAGAATCTCTTTTGACAGTACGGTAAAGAAAAATGACTCGGGTGTCATTAAATAAAAGCTATATACGTATGTATATACATTTATGTGTGCTCTTAAAGATGAACAGCAAAATGTCCTGAATTTTATTAAAATTTCAAAGTCATTGTCGCATGTAATGATGAGACCATACCTGTATATGATGAGATTGCAGTGCTGATCACTCTACAAAAGCCGTTATCACGATGGTATTCTGGCTCATAAGAACGCTGTGTGGACAGATTGTCATTTGTTGCCTGAAGTAATTCCAACAGCTGCGATTCAGGAAATGCGCTCAGGGAATTAGTGCGTTGACTAATGTGCATATTTTGTCATATTAACAAATTATGTTCAGTCTGGGACAGAGAGCTGAGAGTATTTTATTTGAAAGTAGATAACGAATAGTGGACATTAGTAGCCTACAGTCTTTGAAAACTGAAAGGTCACTGACTTGCACTAAAGGACTGGTTTGTTATTGAGGGAGCATTCAGCGTAACAAAACACATGACAGACAGAAACATGACTCTGCTTTTTGAAAATTAGAATATAAGCTGGGGAGAGAACATGGCGTCTCTGCGGGCTGCAGTTTGAGCACAAAGATATTAAAACATATCTATCAGAAGCTGACCCCATGCTCACCTCTCTGTCACCGCTAGAGGGAGAGCCATCGTAATGAAACGGGGGTGTTTGACTGCCGCGCCGCTCTCCACTGCCCATCTGTTAAAATAAATAAAATAGTGTTGGTATTAACAACACAGCATCCCTATCCCCAAACGACACATTCACATCTATGCTCTTTTTGAGAAAATCAAGTTTTCTGGCTCCCTGACATACAATTATTTGATTGACCCCTTTATGATATTTGTCTAATCTAACTTTTCTTGTCAGTGTACCCAACTGACTGTCTATCTTCACCTTTGAACCCAATCTGCTTTTGCATTTTTCGGCAAGACAATGAGTGTGATGACCTGCAGACACAAACAAGTAGCAAACTGAAGTCCACACAGGGGCCACGGTGCATAAAGAGCAAACCAAACCTGTTAACAGAAAGTCCACAAAGCAATGCCACTAACTGTGTAAAAACCCTGAAATCATACACTATACCTCTAAAGAGGCCAAATAATCTTTGTTCAAAACACAGAGGAATACTCAATAAATTGTGTCATTATATGCAAAATAATGACAAGCTGCAGTTGCATTTAAGGACAGGTTGAACCTGACCAGCAGGGTATTGATGAACCCAGAGTAAATTATACTGGAAACTGCAGTTAAGCAGGAAACAATTATTATTTACTTTAACTTCTACGTTGAATCCTCGTTTCTCTGGTGTTGGCACTGGCTGGATTTGCATATGTCAAATAAAGCTGCAAGCAAACATCAATGCAAGCAACATAAAACAGACCCGCCCATACTGCCTGTGTCTATTATAGAGTTTTGGCCACAACAAGGTTCACAGTTGGCTGACTTGTTTTATTTTCTACCTGAGATGACGTGGTGAACCAGTTACAAGTTTTCTTGAACGCACCTTACTAACAGCAGCTGATGACAGCTAAGTTGGGATGCTACATTACTTAGCATGGCGCTAACGTTTAGAGGAGAACAAATGGGCCAACTGAGAATATAAGTAACTGTTAAACGATCGTTGACACCTTATTAAGATGTGTCAATGAGATATTACAAAGAATCAGTTTCTAAATGTGAACCATGACGTCTGCGAAGCGACAGCTAGCTTCCTTCGATAGCCCTTCAGCAATGTAAACAGACGTTAGCTTAGCTCGTTAGCTCCTATCAACACAACAACTAACCTGGGCCTGCTGGGGCGACTGCGCACTCCTCTGCGGGGACTGCTCCTCATTTATCTTCTGTTTAAGTTTTTTAAACATCTTGTCACGCTGGTGTAGCTGACAGCTGATGAGCCGATAACTTCTATCCGGCGGAGATGTATTTTGTTAAGCTTAGCCTGACAGCAAGTCCTCAGTGCTAGACTTCCTTGTTCGCTTCTGATATCCAGCAGGTGACGGAGCTCTCTGCGCATGTGCGGCCAACGTGGAGGAAAACTGAAACGTCAGAGTTAAAGGGTCAGTCCGGGCTAAATTAGCTACAGCGCCACACTTAGAGAGGACAAGTGCTCCCGTGATTTTCCAGGAAACTGACTTACTGGTATTAGCCTACCATAAGTGAATGTTTTATATTTTGCTGCCCATTAGTAGTTTGAAGTGGCACCTTATTTACTAAAGGCAAAGCAACTCCTGAAAACCCTTGATGTCATAGGCTGGTATGAAAAATATTGTTACACATCAGTGAACATTCCTTTATAACATATTTTTTTATATGGGGGAAACTTAGAACATTGTTGACTTTACTGGTCACAGGAGTTTTCAATGCAGTGGCTTCAGAAAGATCCTGTTTCAAAAGTTTAGTGATGGCGCTACATACTTTGTTGTATTCATGCAAAATTGTATAGGATGTATATTACATGCCTATATATGTATATCATGATATCAGTTAAAATACCTCAAATACCTCTCTTTCTTAACCCTTCTATTATCTTCATCGGATTTGTCTTAGTACCTACCTGCAAGTCTTTAAACTTTAAAAACAACCCTGCATGCCTCAATAATGAATATGAAAGCTAAATAAAAACTACTGCAGGGTCCTTACTTGGACAGAATAGGACACTGTTTCAATGCGTTTTAATAAGTTGCTACAGGCCAGTTCAAAGCAAAAATACTAAGACTTACATAATGTGTCATACTGTATGTGCTATCCAGTTTTCATAGTTGGTACTACGTTCCCCTCCTAAAAGACGATTAATTACTCTCCCTTCATTCTTTGGTGGCATCCCTAAAACTGAATGTCACAGGGAAAAGCTGCAGAGTCACACAGTGTTGCCAATTTAGCTCCTCTGGTAATTAATTGTGCTGCTACACCTTAACAGTTCCAGTGTCAATAGAAAATATTTTATTGGGTTTATTTTCTGCTGCAAAGGGGATGAAGAACCTATCGTGTAGGGGCCAACACATATCATCTTTGGGGAACATTTGTTTGAGCCCATACTGAGCCGCAGTGATTATACAATAACACATATTGTAGAATAAAAAGATCAATATGCTCTTGTTTATTGTTTATGTGATGATCTGTGGTGAAGTCCCTGGACTCTGATGTGTTCTATATCGATGCATATCTAAAATAAAGTCTGCATGCTTGCTTTTCATCAGGGTGAGTCATAGTGTCCTTGGGTATTATGACAACTTTATCAGACAGAAGTTGATAGAAAAGATAACACTGTGGATGTAAGTCATGGTTCAAATATGTGGTATTTTCCTTTCTTTGGGATCTGGCAGTGTGCCGATATCTGAAATAAACATTTCTGAATCCGACTTTGCTGACTGGTGTAGAAAGAATCCAAGGCATGCCATTTTGGGCCTTAAATCCATTAAAATGAAGACTACAAGCAAGATGTGATTTTAATTTTTTCACCATTCTGACTCTAATGCTTGCGACTCAGCAGGGATTTTGATCTATGATGGGTGGAACAGTGAGTGTGAGCGATGGGTGGTTAACGGCAGAGTGATGGAGCTATCCTATACCATGCGGCAGTCACCCTGAGGCATAAAGCAGAGAGGATACGAAGGCAAAACAGGGGAATCTAGTGTTGTATGTCTGCTATGGCTGTTTTATTTTGGAAAGCAACTTAGTTTAATCATTAAATTAGTTTCTCCGGGCCTTTCTGCAAAGTCACAGAGACCTTGTTGGACAGCAAGTTTAAAGAGGGGGACCACCCATCACATTCACTTGGGAGTAACGTGCACCTCAAATCACTGCTGACCACACAATGAGGCTTCAGAGACCAGATCAATAGGAAGAGAGCTACAACTCCCCTGTGAAGTTTATTGATGCCCAATTAAAAACATGTGCAAAGGAGGACCTGAAAACCAAGCAAATGTTATGTTTTTTTCCAACCAGCGGTCAGTGCTGTGAAAAGCTGATACAATATGTGCTTAAGCGTAAAGGTATATGGCCCCAAACTCTGCCTCATGCAGTGTCTCTTGGAATTTCAACTTTACACATAATTGTCTCTCTAGGGGAGGCTCCCTCCTGACAGAACGGGCCAAACTGATAAAATATTGATGCACTTCCTGAATTGGCATTGCTTGTTACGGCTCTTTCTCACCTCCTTCCTCTCCAAAATCCTCTGCACAATGCCAACTGGATTCTGGCTGCACCTCTTTTCATTACATTTACATTACATTTTCCCGGCCTGAAGGACGGTCATCTGAGGTCTCACATCTCATTCTCTCTCTCCTCATCATTTCTCCTTCCTTAAAATTGTGAGGTAGAAAATTATAGTAAAGCATTGCCTTCCTCTACGAGGGGTCAAGCTGGTAATCAAGGGCTTACTTGTGGTAAAATCCCCACTACAATTTGAATGACTCCAACTGGTGTCCATGCTACCAAAGACCAATTGACTTGTTCAAAGTGTCTTTAAAAACAGTCTCATAGAGGGTCTCTATTTAAGTGACTGACGTGAATTTAAAATCTGTGCCCATGTTCTTTTAAACAGATGTTTGATGATGTCCATGTAGTTTATTCAAGCAGATTTTACCACAGACAACTAGCTGACTGTCACTGTTTGGGCAGCCCAGCCTTGACATACAGTATAGATTTATATCTTTCCACATGGCACGGCAGTTTATTAAGTTGTGCAATAAATTTGCCAAACCACTAACAATCTGCCTCCCGGGCCAGATTTACTGTGTGTGTGTGTGTGTGTGTGTGTGTGTGCATATGTTCAATACAACAAGATGTAAATGTAGCAGTTTTTAGTCAAAAATGCTAATGAGCTATTTATTTATTTTTACACTATATGTTTAAAGTTGGCCAAGCATTATTTTATATTCCCTTTTTTGTACATTAAAATGGTCTCGGTATTGTGCCGAGGTTGATGTAACAACTGCTCTGGCCATCCTTTCCCACCTCCCGTGGTGTTATCATCTGGTTGTTTTGTGCCGTGCCTTCTGTCACAGTGAGGTGTTGCCAGACTGCCTCAGAAGCAGCTCCATGTGCTTTGTCACTGGCATGGGGGAAAGCATTGCACAGCCATCGTCTCTCGTTCGTGCCCTGTCCAAAACAGCAGTACATGATGATTTGCAACCCTTTTCATGTAGCCTTTTAATGAGCATTAGGTTAGCAGTTAGCTAATTTACTTGATAGTGATGAAGGTGTGATGATAGGGGTTAGGGTTCAGTCAGTACTAAAAACACATTTTTTTTCTTTTTCAAAATGTCATTTGAAGTTGACTGAAAATAACTTTTTGTCTGTTCTGGTAGTGGATTGAGTGCATTGGTGCCATTTGCCATGTTGAATATCTGGTAATTCTGTGAACCCATAATCTCGGTATCTTTTGAACGTTGCTGCATATTGTTGCTGTGGTTTAATGTAATCTAGTGGATCCACTAGATGGAGCTACCCCTGCGTTGCAACACACCGACCTTACTCAGCAGGCTAATTAGGGAGTTGGGAGCAGAACACACTAAGAACTGCTATGCAGGGAGTGACATGAGAGGTTAAAGCAAGTCTAACGTTTGAAAGAAGAAATAACACATTCCTCCTTTTATAGATGAAAAGTGAAATTCTTAAGCAGTAAAATACAGCATTTCTCGATCCAATACACTTACTTTTAGAATTATCCTGTAATTGTCACTTAACATTGGCCACTACAGCAAATGTTGCACTGCTCTCTCTTTAATGATAACAGAACAAAGGTCATGGTGGCCTTTTTCCCAGGCTTGAACCATACCATATACGAGACTGTTGCCATATGAGTGATGAATTCATGCAGTACTGACATTTTACAGATTTTTTCCAGACTACTACTTTAAAGAAATAAAAGCTGTATTTATTTACACAGTTCAATCTAATTTTCTGCCAGCGCAGGTTGCTTATAAATCGTGAACAAAAAGATATGTGGGATCTTGGAATAGTGTGATAAACATGCCAACGAAAGACCTTTGAAAGTCTCACTCTCAAGGTAAGTTATGTTTATTTCCCCCTCATAACTTTCCACAGATTTCTTTCACCTCATGAGTTATGTCTAAGATGGGATTCGACATAGATAACAGGCAGCTGCACAACAAGCCAGAGTCTCTCGGTGTGGTCATGAATACTAGTTCCAAACATCTAATGTTAGGCAGTTAAATTGCAGTCTTTCAAGGGATTTCCCACAGTTGGGAATTCACATAGAGCTACACACTCCACCGTCGATTACATAATTGCTTTTTCAGTTTCAGTGTATCGTAACTTTCTTCATAATTATTTCGGGAAGAAAGTAAAGATGAATATTACTCATTGGAGGTGTTGACTCCACGGCTGCAAACTGTTTTGCTGCCGTACTACTATGACACCAATAAACAACAAAAAGGAAAATTGAACACCGGGGTATAAAATAGAGGGATGATGAAAGGTGCACTGGTAATTGCTCAGGCTTCTGTGACACTCCACCTGGGGACTGGTTGGATTTGTGTTTGCCTGATGAGTGAGTCCCCTCTGTTGAGGGGAGGAGGGTACACCTGGATGAACATGTTTTATTTAACAAGAATATCTTTCCAGAAGGCTGCGCTGGTCCCAATATTATAATCTCTCAGCAGTTGGATTTCCATCAGTCTCTGTGGTTGGAGCCATTGGTATTTCCAGATGGCATGAATACACCCTGGTGCATAAAACAGAATATTCATCTCAGTCTTATCGCACCTACAAAGCTTAGTAATGCTTACTTCTCGTTACTTTTGCTTGAAAGGGCAGAAATAGTGAAAAGCAAATCACTATTATTGCATATAATATTTTGTGTTTGTTCGTTGGGCTGTAGTATTCATTGAGGAAACTGAGATACTGCCCTCATCTACCACTTTGAAGGTTTAAGCAACCCAGCTGGAGTTTGCATTCTACATTCATTACATTTATCTCCACCAGGAGGTTCATGCCATCAGCTGCATGTGTGCGTGAGTGAGTAAGTGTGCACCTATGGCTCTGT